TTCCAACTTCTCGACGACTTCTTCGTCAACCGCGGCGTAGCACTGGCATCCCTCGTCTACGAGTGAGGAGAAGAGATTGGTCCTATTGATAATGCTTCGAATTATTGTAGGACCAACTTCCATTTTCCTGAGAACTTCTCTTCTTTGCCACTGCTCCGTTCTTTGGCCTCGAGACCCGTCTTTGTTTCGAGGCTACGCATTTCCCGAGAGGGATGGGGTCTCGCTAAGTCCTGACTCTTCCTCACTAGAGTCGTTACCATCATCTTCCAGCAAGGGCATGATCCTAGCGGTGCGGACTTTACATCCCTCGACCGGCTAGGGTCCTGTCCTGGCGAGTAGGGCAAGCGGCAATGAAATGGGTGTTGTCGCCGCAGCGGAGACAACGACCCTCGTCACGGCGTTTATTCCGTTCGTCCTCGGATACCCACCTCGCCCGTTGCTTCCGTCCTGACCTAGGCTGGAAGCGAACCGTCTTGCTCGTCTCGCGAAGAAGAGAGCATAAGTGGGCATAAAAGTGGATAAAGGGACTTTTCGTAGGTAGATTCTCAGATGATCTGATAGTCGGTGATGTGCATGTGTTTTTTTTTTCTGTCCAGTTGCCCTGTATCCGTCTAGCCCTCCCTTTTATATCCTCTGTGCCTTCCCTATGTTCATATCCCGTGTTCAGGTATAATATACATTCTATCAGGAAGAGGGCACTCCTTGCCTCTCACTGAAGGCCGCGTAAGCCATCTACGTCAGCACATTCAGCTCGATCTCCCCGATCAATAGCTTTCCAAGCTATTAGGTCGATAGTTCAATCTCTTGAGGTCCCCGAGCCAGTAAAAGATATACCGGACTCCTTGGAGGATCCCGATCGAATAGGAGATCCTCCGGACCCCTCAGTGGTCTAGGAAGAAGAAACAATAGTCTGCAGACTTTCTTCTTACCTGGTTTGAAGCTGTATTACCTAGAGACCTAGGGACCTCAACTCGTTCGGACCTTCTTCTCGACAGCTCGTTCCACTTGACCCCTGGCCGTTCGCCCGTCCTCTCTGACCCTGCCCCTGAGTGCGTGTAACCGTCATTATTACGTCGCCGTCATGGTCGCGTGCGTCACGTGCGTTCTGCTCGGCGGGTAACGTTGCTGACGGTGCCGGGGTGTTGTCGTTACCGGCGACCTGGATGTTGCCGATGCCTGATGCCTGCCCTTGGTCACGTTGCCCGCGGGAGCCCTGCTTCCTCTGCAACGCCTTAAACTTCGCGGTGTGCTCGAACGCCCAAGCAATCGGGTGTAGACGTTGGATGTACTCGTTGTAGTCCTTCGGCATGATAACCGGGACTAGTTGCTCACGGAGAGCAGGAGAGATCGAGTTCCGTAGCCATGCGAGCTTGGAAGCATTATCCCAGCTCGCGCCGCCCGCTTTGGTCAATGTTTCCTCGAATTCAGGAGGAACTTCCCAAACTCTTGGCTGTCTCGTTGAATGAGGGTGCGCAGCCTGTCCTGCGCCCTCTCTGTCTGCTGCACGCTGCCGAACGTCTGGGCTAGGTGCGAGAAGAATTTCCGGGGTCTGGGTTGCCCTTCGCGCTCTTTGCCTCCAAAACCCTCGACTCTCCTCATCATCTGATCCGGCAAGGTCTGCAGGATCTCGTACCACACGACGTTGTTATTGCCGTTTAGGCCTCCTCTTCGTCGGTATTGTACTTAAATACCAGACGGTCGAGGTAGAAGTGGAAGGACTCGGGTTGACCGTTCCACTTCGGCCAAGTCATCGGCTTGCGCTTCTTGCCACGGTCCATTTCCTGGGCTGCTTCCGGCCTCGGTTCGACGGGTAAGATCGCCGGGGTACTGAGCACCCCCGGGCTGGGTGTCAACGGTGGCGCTGCTAGGCCTAGCCCGGTGAACATCTTCCGCAGTTCTTCGTCTCCCGCGATCCCAGATAAGATCTGCAAGAGCTCTTGCTCCTTCCCTCCATCGGCTCGTTGCGCCGCCGGTCGCGGTGCCCCTGCATAACTACTATTGTCCTCCATCTTGTTCGTCCGTCTCGTCGTCCGATCGATCGTCCGTCTCGTCGTTTAGCCTATCGCCTGTCTTGCTGTCTGTCCTGCTGACTGTCCTGCTGTCTGTCCTGCTGTCTGTCCTGCTGTCTGTCCTGCTGTCTGTCCTTCTGTCTGTCCTGTCTTTTGTTAACTGGTAGCTCAATATGTTACGGGGTCAGCACTGTTGGCACAGGTGCTGGGCGTAATTGATGTAAATTGAGCTACAAAGAGTGTAAAGGGGAGACGTGTCTACATCGCTCCCTTAGGAGTCGTGTCCGTGGCGCTCGCACGTGACTAGTCTGGCCATGCCAGATCTACACATCGGGGCGTAGCCCTTACAATACAGCTTTGTTCATCGCAACCGCAATGAGCTAGGTTGCAGCTGGTTCGATGGATTTGACATTGCACGGAAAAGCCGATAATACCTCTAGGTATAAGGCATATTTTGAGCTTGTAAGTTGGTCTACAAAATCTCAGATTCGTTACTAATTGTGGAAGATCCGAGCGAAAATCGAGAAATACGACATTGTCCCTTGCAACACGTATAATATGGATGAAAAAGGCTTTCTCTTGGGTGTGATCAATCGAACTAAGAGAGTCTTCACCCTTGATCTCAAAAAGCAAGGCAAATTGCTCGGCGCATTGCAAGACGGCAATCGATCCTGGATTACGTTCGTGGCTTGCATCTGCCAGGACATGACATCACTGCCTCCTTTTCTCATCTACCAAGGCAAGCCAGGACAAGTCCAAGATTCTTGGCTTACGGACTTTGACCCAGAGCATCAATCAGCATTCTTCACAACCTCAGAGACGGGCTGGACTAACCACGAGCTTGGGAAAGAGTGGCTCGTCGGCGTTTTTGATCGGTTTACCAAGGCAAAAGCACGAAATGGACGTGATTATCGCCTTCTTATTACCGACGGACACTCCAGCCATATTAATATGGGCTTTCTGGAGTGGTGCGACCAGCATCGGATCATCGTGGCGGTGTTTCCTCCTCACTCTACCCATCGGCTCCAGCCCCTGGACGTATCCCTATTCAGCCCTCTGTCAACGGCATACACAAATCAGCTTATCCGGTGGACGGCAAAGACTCAAGGGCTCGTTGGGCTGTCCAAGCGCGAGTTCTGGACTTTGTTTTGGAATGCATTCGAGGCGTCTTTCTCACCGGAGAACGTTGAAAGTGGGTGGATGCGGACCGGGCTCCTTCCTTTCGATCCCGAAGTCGTCCTATCACAGATTGTGAAAGACAGAATCGACGATTCCGATGTAGGCAGTGGTTCGGAAGACTCACTAGCATTGCAACAGCCTACTGCTCGAGAATTACGACGGCTTGTGGACAAAGTAGTCGACAAATCCACCGCAGATTCGGAAGTCAATGCTCGGAAGCTGAAGAGCACTCTCGAAAGCCTTCAATCCGAGGTTGAGCTGCTTAGATATGAGAACAAGGGACTCCGTGAGGCAATAATTCATGAGAAGCAGCGCAGGCAGCGTGGTACAGCTCTGAAAGATTATCTCTTTGACCGTACGGATCCTTACTCTGCTCAGGTCTTCAGCCCGCAAAAAGTGGCCCAAGCTCGAGTGAAGAAAGCTGCGATGGAGGCCCAAAAGAAAGAGAAGGCTCTCCAAAAGGAATCCCAGAAGGTTCAGCGACAGCAGAAGGCGGAAGAACAAAAAGAGGTCGTGTTGGAGGAAGAGGCAGCGAGAGGAGAAAGGGAGCGAAAATTGCAGGAAAAGAAGCCAGAAAGCAAGAGAAAGAGGCTAACCGACAGCTTCGTGACGACCTCGGCATCTTAACCGGGAAGGGCACAACAGGGCAGCAAAGCCGGCGGGTGCCTTTTGATGCACGAGAGGAGAGTCCAGGGATTCTAGACGAAATAATCGTCGCTCCTCCGTCACCACCAGAGCCTCCGGTAACATCGCAAGCGCCAGATCAGCCAGAGAACGACTTAGCAAAGAAGGCAAGGATTCCGCCCGGCCGAACGCCTCGTGCCCAAAGACCTTTTCTGGCTGTTGAGAGTGATCGGGAGATGGTAGTGGGGTATCGGAGCTCGGGACGGCCGCAGCGGAATAGCAAGCGACCACAATGGCTTGATGACTGCGAAACAGGATGATGCACATCTCGCAGTCGCTTTTTCATCACATTTTAAGTTGGACAAATTTTGGCCCCGTTGCTGTGGAGTTATTGTGGATTGATGTCTTAACTTTCAGTCGCGTGTAAGTCCGGCGGGTCACGGGATCCGGCAGATCATCGGAAAATCCCTTACACAGTCACGTGTGCTGCTGAGGACGGCTGAGGCCACATAACTAGCATCGTGGCCTCCTCCCCCTTTTCGATAGACAATCCTCATTGCAGAATACGACACACCGGTTAACCCAGTTTGTTACGTGCACGAGACCTACCAACACTATTCAATATTTTTTCCATCTCTCCATCATTCGAAGAAAAGTTATCGCCTTAGTATACTCGGTGGTAAATCAAGCCCATGTCGGGACGCATGGTTTGCGAAGTGTTCTGCGTCTGCAAGAACTGCTTCACAGTTTTGCCAGGGGCATAGAAATGCCGTCCGTCCCCTTTTGAGATGCTGTCCCCGAATATGTCTTGCCAGGTTACTCAGTCGCCATGTTTTAATCCGTTGGCTCCTTCCATGGCTGCCTTGCCATCGACAAAATGGGCACATCGGTCTTGCACCCTCCGACAAATCAACCGTAGACTCACTTGGTTTTCCAGGTGATTCCAGTTCCGGAATATTGGCCTTACCGCCATTTTCATAGGTTCCTTGCGCGCGGTAAGAGCGAAGACGCCTCGTGACCGCTTGTTTGCGGCCTCTTTTCTCTGTCCCACGACAAGGGCTTTCGCGTCGCTTGCAAAGCTGGGCCAGCGCAGATATCAAATCAACGCGTAAAGAGTGCAAAGACCCCGTGTCTGTTAACTCAGCCGCCCGTGAAAAGAGAAATGCAACCTGAGCCCGCTCTGGTAAGTCATACTCTATGTTCGGCGGTGAAATGACATCGGCAGGCCTTATACCCCGGGTTGTCGGTTAACCTCGTCCACATGGACATTAGTGTGAAAGTCTTGAATGGCTTTTGCAGTCGAGACGCCTTCAAGACCCTGCGCAGGTTATTAATCTTCTTGCTGTAGCGGTCGTATCGCTTCTGCATTTCGGTGCCTTCGGCGAGTTCTCGGCTGCGGTAGCCCTGGCGTTTCCATTCTAGCATCGCACGGTTTCTCTCGGCACAATATTTGGCAAGTTTCTCGTTTTTATGGATTTTTGCAATTTGTTGGGCTGTCAGTTCTTTTGGAGCGCCGTCATGGCGGCGAAGGCGGGCGGCTAACTGCACAAGGTCGTGTTGCGGGGCTGTGCCGAAGCAGATTGACTGGCAATCCACGTCAATGAAGTTCGACATGTAATATTGCAAGTAAGTGCTCGAATCTCCCTTTCGATGTCCCATGATTTTGTTTCTCTCCTCTGGCGTGAGCGCTTCTGCATTACGGCGTTATTAATGCTGTCAAATGGACGAACTGGGGGCACGAACCGTTTAGTTTTTTGCCAGACCCTCGGCGAAGGTCATACCATTCGAGCTGCTTCTCAATTCCAATCGAACGTCCCAGTCTAATTAAATGTCGTCGTTCTTTTTTGTAGTCAAGTGGCCTCTCTAGTGAGATCTGTATGCCGTGCTCAGTGTCTTCAACGTCTCGGAAAACGGGGCGCTTCAGCCACTCTTTCTTCCAAAGGAGACGAATGCGATCGGATTCAGGTGGCACCACGAAGCTATACAAGCTCTGTGGACCTGCCAAATCATTGACGAACGCACCGTCACAAAATACCAGAGCCATCATCGGGATCAGCGGGTCGTACAAGAGCAAATCATCTTCGCGGAAGGCGAATCTTTTTGGCTCTGAGCTCCCCGCTGTCCGCTTGATGTGCTCTAGATTTACGATCAGAGCAATACGCGGCCGGGTGTCTCCTTTTACCGGAGGAAACACTTGGAACTCTAAGTTCTCGTAGAGCAGCTGCCCAATCAAGGCTCCCGGTCGGGTCGCCGTAGCGCCTGCCAGGATCAAATTGGCCGATAACTGGACTCGGAGTCGCTCGTGAGTAAAAATCTCCTCGTCGCGGATCCAAAGGTGGTTCAGCATGATGGCCAGGTCGTCGATGAAGATGCCGGATTTTTCTTTTTTGGATGTGTCCAAGCCGTACTTGGGTGTAAGGTAGGTCGGAATCCACTGGTGTCGTCAGCCACTGATTGTGAAACTTAACCGACTAACTTACATTTCGAATATCGAAAAGAACGCTTTCGGTCATCCACTTAGCACTTTTCTGTGCGTAGACCTGGCTCAATCGTTTCCAGTATAACGCAATGGTGGACTCTTTCTTGATTCTCGACTTTTTCACTCTCAGGTCCAAGTAAACCTTGAATAATGCCGCATCACATCGACACATTGACTCAATTGGTTCTTCATTTTGTTGCGATTGAACTTACTTCTATTCAATTCTGTCTGACAGCTCTCAACATACATATATACATAGTGGCACGTCCGTGCCACTATCCAGTGACTCACCACTTGTAACTGCTGCCTAAACATGTCTTGGTCCATGTCTCATATCAAGTCAACACTCCCCTAGAGCTGTCAGACTTCAACTGCAACGCTATTCATAGCGTATGGGTCCAATTCAATCCTCCTCCTGTTCCTCTCGAAAGCCTCCTAGGCAGAGGCTTGGTCATCCCATCTGCTAGCATATTCTCCCCTGGAACCCAGTAGACTTGGATTCTCCTTCCTTGACCTCATCAACCACGTGATGAAATGCTATATCAACATGCTTGATTTTCGACGTGTTCGATACTCCTCGGGTCAGCTGTACAGCTCCTTATTATCTCAAGCAGTAGTGGCACTGTTTGCTCCCCTTTCCTTCCAGTTCTGCAAGTAGTCGACGTCCCCAGAGGGCAGCTTTGTGGCCTCCCCATCCCAACATACTCTGCTTCTGTCGTAGATCTTGCCACTGATTTCATCTTCTTGCTATACGTCATGACGGCGCCTCCGTAGACCATAAAGACGAACCCCAGGATACTCTTCCGGTCCCTTGGATCAGTAGCGTAGTCGGTGTCAGAGAACGCTTCTCCATCTTGCAGGCCTGCAGAGCCGACGTGCCCTTCGATGTTGTGGTCAATGGAGTAATAGTCGATATCGCTGCCTTCGACTCCTTGTGCGTGCTCATTATTTCCGCCATATGTGATACCGTGGTGAATAGTCCTGCCGACATAACCCAATATTCGTAGCAAAGCCTTCCAGTGGTTCCAGCATGCCTCTACCGTGAAAGATGCCATTCTGTTAACTGCGAATATAATGTCGAACCTCGTATTGCATAGCCAAATCAGCTTTCGAGCAATTCCACGTATTTCAACCATTCGTCATGGTTCAGAGGCCGTCCCGGTTCCTCAGCGAGCTTCCGTATAGCTCCAGGTTCCATGGGGTTGCGTGCTTCATTGAGTCGTCGTAGAAATTCTGCCACGATTTCCTTCGCAAATTGTGATTGATCAATCATCAGCTTTCCTTTGTGCCTTTGAATCCGAATTCCGAGAATGTTCTCTGCTTCTCCGAGGTCTTTCATCTCAAATCTTCCCTTCAGCTTTTCCTTGACCCGTTCAATGGCATCCTCGTTCCCCCCTGTAATCATAAAGTCATCCACGTGCACGCCGATGATTACCTCCGACTCTGTATGTCTGAATATTGTCGGGTCCACTGTCATCGGTGAGAAACCAATCTCCTTGAGATATTCTGATATTAGCAAATACCACATCCTTGCAGCTTGCTTCAATCCGTACAAACTCTTCAGGATCTGAACGTATTTCCCGAAATATTGCTGGAGCTCAGTTGGCACTTTCATGAAGATCCTTTCCTTTAGGTCTGCTGCAGGAACGCAGCCACAGCATCCATCTGGTATACCTTCCAGCCTTTCTTCGCCGCTAAAGCTAGAATGATCCTCATCGCATCGAGCCGGATCGTGGGTGCGAAGGTTTCCTCGTAATTGATCCCGTGTTTCTGTGTGAACCCTCTCGCGACTAGACGTGCTTTATACCGTAGTATCTTCCTTCTTTGTCTTTCTTGCGATCAAACACAAGCTTGGCATCAACTACTTCTTCTCCGTGCACGTCAACTTCGTTGATTTCCTCCGAGAATGTCTGTCGTCGAATGAGATTCTGAACTTCCTCATCTATAGCTCCTACCCATTGATCCTTCTCACTGCCTTCCATCGCCTGTCGGAAGGTAAGCTTTTTCGGGTCGAAGTCGTACAGGTCTGTATTAGGCTGGAGAAGCGTCCTTGCTACCATGGCTCTTTCCTTCCTGCCACTCTCCCCTCGCTTCTTCAGACGTTCTGCCATGCGCTGTTCTTCTCTTTGCCGCCGTTCCAGCTCTGCTCGCTGCTTCTCTGCTCTTTTGAGTGCCACGGTCTCTCGTCGAATCTGGGATCTTGTTTTCGGCAGACTCCTTTCAGGAGAGGTTATATCCGCCTCCCTGTATTGACAATGATTGTGTCTCCTTGGAGCCTTCCTCCGAATCTGCAGTGTCTTGGCCGGTCGGGTTCCCGTCCGCTGCTTCTCCGGCATCCTCCCCAGCTTCTGTAGCTTCCTGGTCCATGGTCCTATCCTGACCGAATCTTCGGCATCAGAGTCATCATCAGTGAGCTCCCTTGCTCCCTTTCTCTTCCTTCTCATCGTCATACTGCGATTGTGATTCTTGGCTGATTTCATTGTCCATATACTTGCTCTCATCGAATTCCACGAATCGAACCTCGTGGACCTTCTTATCAGCTGGGTTCCAGACTAGATAGATTTTATCTGTCTCCTCTTTGTATCCAACAAAACTCCTTGCCATGCTCTTTTCAGAAGCTTTGTTCTCTTTTCTTTGGGAATAAATACCCAGGCAGGACATCCGAACACTCTCAAGTGCCCTGATCTTGGCTTCTCTCCACGCCATAACTCCCATGGGCTTTTAGCCATTCCCTTGACAACTCCTATTTCTCAGATAGGCCGCTGTTGCGTTCGAAAACTCCCAGTATGCTGCAGGAGATCCATTTCGTGACGCATGCAGACCCCTCTCTGATATGGTTCTCATGCTCCTCTCAGAGATACTATTCCCCTCCGGGTGGTAGCCCACTGTTGGTTCGATCCGAATAGCTCTCCCGTGCAAAATACCCTCATTGCCTCGTTTAGAAACTCCTTTCCGCGATCAAAGCGCATCGCCTTGACCTTTTCGCCTTTTCCGTACTCGCGACACTCTGCCTCTGCAACAACTACCCAGGCTTTGATCTTGTCGGTAATTCTCGTTTTGTCTCTAGAAATAAACCCAAACTCGCCCGGTAGCCTGATCGGTGATTGTCAGCATGTACTTCATTCCTTGAAGTGATAGCTCAACTGGCCCCAAAGATCTATATGGACTCTCTCTAGCTTTTCTGTCACCGCAGACATTGGCTCCTTGAGACCTTTCTTGTCATTTTGGCCTCGGTGCAGCTTGAGCAGAATGACGGGCAGAATGAGTTGTCTCCGAGATCATCCATTACGGCGTTCAGTTTGCCCTCCATATGCTTTCCAGGGTGTCCCAGCCTAGCATGTAGTAGTCTTTCAGGCATCTTCAGGATTGACTTCAGCGCTACCCCGTTATCGCCATCCTTTTCTTGGATTGTATGGGCTCGGTGCCCTCTTGTCTGGCTCAAGCGCCACACCTTTTATGTCTGTGGCCAAACAGCACCTCCTCCTGATTTCTTGTCACCGTGACTGTCTTCCCCGGAGAGTCCACGACAATACATGCTCCCCTGTCTTCCAGTTCACCGACTGATAGCAGGCTGCTCGTCGCCTCCGGGATGTAGTGCACCCACGTACTATTGTCGACCTTGCTCTTCCTTTCTGTGAGACGTAAAAGATCCTCACATCTCCTTTCCCTCTTGAACGAACCTCGGAGCCGTCTGCAATCTCAACACTTGTCTTTGTAGGGGACAACTTTGAGATAAATTGGTCTTCCCTTGGGGTGATATGGAGGAAGCACAGCTGTCGAGATACCATTGTGGAGGGCTGTTTCCTTTGTGTTCGGAAGCAAGTAGGTAGATCTCTCAGATTCACTACCACTGTCTTCAAGGATCCTGACCGCGTTTGCCTTTCCTTTGCTATCCATGGCCTCTCTCGCCTTCGCTTTTTCAGAGGCTAGCCAGGTCTTCCCTGCTTTGGTTTGGTGCCAAATTGCACAATCATGCTTGAAATGCATACCGCCACAAGACCAGCACCCCCCTGCCTTCTTCAGATATTCCTCCTTGCTATCATCGCCACCATCCTGTGCTTTGGACCTGTTGTTCCCTTTGTTCCATGCACTGCGGCCACGACCCGCGAATTGTGCGGTTTCTCCCTTGATTGTAGTATCGACGAGTTCCAACTCTTTGCTTTCCAGAGAGCTCTGCACCTTTTCCATTGTCAACGTCTCTGTCGAGGCGTTCAAGATCTCGACCGTAGTGTTAAAAGCGTCGTCCATGCTCATTTGCAAGCAAATCAATAGCTGTTCATGGATAACAATGTCCTTGTCTTGGCTATTAATCTGAGCTCGAAGTCGCTTTAGGTCGTCGACCTTCTCCTGCACAGTTCTATTCGTCTGCGTACTAACGTCGTATAGCATTCGGATCAGCTGTCGAAGGCGCGCTTTGTTCGATGTCGCATATCGCTTAACGAGGGATTGATAAATTGCTCGTGGATCGGTGAGATGGTTGACTGAGTTCTTGTGGATCTGGTCAATACTCTGTCGTATTTTCATTCTCGCAAGAGAGACATTTTTAATGTCCGCAGCATTCTCTCCTGGCGTTGATAAATCTGACGATTCCGCTGTTGCCTTACCGGTGACGCAGCTCATAAGATCGTCACTCAACAAGTTATCTTCAAGATCCATCTTCCAGCTGTCAAAGGAGTCTCTTCCATCAAGGATGGTTCCTTTGTAGTCTTTCTTGCCCATAGTGCCGGGTCTTTGCTGTCAACCGTCGATTCTTGACGAAAAAGTGTTCTCATATGCCGAGTTCAATCGTGCAGTGGAAGCATAATAAAAGCAACCGGGTGCATAACCTGTTGCGATTGAACTTACTTCTATTCAATTCTGTCTGACAGCTCTCAACATACATATATACATAGTGGCACGTCCGTGCCACTATCCAGTGACTCACCACTTGTAACTGCTGCCTAAACATGTCTTGGTCCATGTCTCATATCAAGTCAACAGAAAGTCGCCTCGCTCCTGCTCGCTCTCTCTCGCGGATTCGGAAGGTGAGTCCCAGTACGAGCGCAAACATGAGAACCTCGCGGCATTCAGAAGAACCCACCCTCCGAGGCCTTTCGTATGGTGAAAGCGTCGCCAAAGTAGCGTAAAAGAGCCCTGACGATGGTTGAAATACCCTGTATGACTGCTTGTGTCGCAGAATTGCTTCCCTCGGCTGTTCCGCTGCCCAGGAATTCGATCGCAATTCGCTCAGCTCCGGCCAGTTCGAACAGTCGCTCCAGCTCTGTCGCGAAGTGGCGTCCCTTGTCACCCATGTCGCGCATATGATAGCGTACAACAATCTTGCGTACCATTCTTTCAATCTCATTCTTATGGGTCATTCTGCTCCCAGGAGGTTGCATGAACTCGTGAAGACCATCCCACCAAACCAGGAATTCATTCTCTCCGTAATATATCTCCTTGTTTTCTGCCCCTAGGGTCATTCCCAGCTCGTCGGTTCTCTTCGCAACAGCGCTGACATCAATTCAAGTAAGTCAAGTTCGGGGGTCTAACTTGATTACTTGAAATAAATTCGTCGCTCAACTTACTTAACTTGAATTAAATTGAAATATGTGGACAGGCTCTTCACTGCAGTGAGGTTATTCGAACTGGTTCAATTGGTTATATCTTGCGTAACCAGGGAAACGTGTCCCTAAACTGTGTGCAAAGACCTTCCTCCCTGTGCCCCACCTCTTACTCGCACGTGACTAGCGCGGTCGATTAGTTATACGTGCGCGATCGGTGCCTAGTGCACAGGTGGATCCAACACTGGAACCTCTTTCTAAATCGATGGTGTCACAGGTCCCGGGGCCGGCTGACCGGTCATCCGGTAATCGGATTACCGCCCGCCCCGCAAAACCATGTCGTTTTCGAAGGCCCGGCCCTGCGGGCTGGCGTTTTCTTAGTCGGATTACCGCCATCGGACGGCAAAATCGAAGGTCCACGCCCGCGGGGCCTGCGCGAGACCTTCGATTTCGGTCTCGCTCACGCGCGTTGCGCTCCACCTCCCTCCTCCCACCTCCTCCTCCACCTCCTCCATTGCCACCGTCGCGACGGCGACCGCCTGCACCATGTCGAACGCGATAGAGGATCCCCGGGTCAGGGCGGCCATTGAGCACTACCTGTTAGATCTGGAGAACACAGCCGAAGAATACGAAGCGAAATTATCGTCCCAAGCAGGAAGAATGGAAGGCAAGCCGCATGCGCGCCCTGCAATCTTCATGTAGATCCATGCATTGACCGCCTCACAGGGTGGTGTCAAGCCAACTGGCCTGCGATCCCGGACGTTTGGCCGGCCTCGGTACCACAGGGCCAACAGCTACCGGAGACCTGGTCGATGAAGGCTCTTGCTCTTCATGAAGGAGGTAGTGGCATCACGTCCTCCCAAGAAAGGAAGAGGGTCGCCGATGAAAAAAACGACACCTCGAGGCTCGGGAAGCCAAGAGGGCCGTGAAAAGACGCAGAGCACCATCAGGTAACAGATGTTGATCACGGGATGTGGTCGTCGGACTGAGCCAGCCCATCATACTAACACCCAGCTTCCCCAGCAGATACCATCGTTGTAGGCGGCGGAGGTAGCGAATACGAGTCAGACTCCGACTTGGGTTGTATGAGTCCACGCTCAAACTACAGTATAATACTGTACGGGGCTACGTCTCGGCCATACAGAAGCTTTACGACGAGCAGAAGAGCCGGGAGTCAATCCTGCGGCCCGGCCACGGGAGTGGCACTGAAGGCGCTCAAACGCAGCATTCTTGCAACGACTTGGAGCCGGAAGAGGAAGGAATACATGGACAGGGAGTTGGAACTCTGAGAGATGTGTATGCGCCGGCGCAGATGCCCGACCACACCAACGTGGCATGGTCCGAGAGGAGAGATCGCCTGCGCCTGAGGACGCAGGTGGACTTTCTGCTCGGGAACCACATGCTGCTGCGGTCCGGCAACCGCCTGCCGATGGAGTTGGCAGACTGCTTTCCCCTGGACTTACCCAACGAGGGCTTCAAGGCCCAGGGGTATACCACAAAGGCGCTGGTTGTCGTGATGAACTGTGGGAAGACCAACCAGCACGGCCGCATGGAGTATGGATCTGCTCTGCGGCATCGAGATCCGCGATCTTGTCTCATCGGCGCCCTCGCGTTCTGGCTTTTCTGGCGCTGGCAGGTAGAAAAGGCGGAAAGGTTTCCCGTCTTCCAAAGCGAAGACTGGTATGAAACGAAGGTGCTCCGCCGATCGGCGAAGGAGCCTCAAGGTAAGCGTGATGGCATTCACCGGAATCCCATAACTCAGAGGTGCATCGACCCTTTCACTCACCGAATATACAGCTCCGTTGTCGGGCCAGACTGCCCGAGAATGGACGTCCAGGATTCTACAAGAAGGCCGGCATCAAGGTCTCCAAGGTCAGCCACGCGCCTAGGTGGCGGCGACGCAAAACGCCGACATGGCCGGGTGGATGAAGGCCAGGCATGTCATCTGCCTAGGCAAGCCGCCAACCCCTGGCCTGGGCTGACCCGAACTATACAGATCCGCCGAGCCGGTCGTTGGAATAACGGAGACCAAATGACCGGCTGCTATCTGACTTCCTGCCTTTCGAATTCGCGAGGGCCGTGGCCGACTTTGACCCTGAATGGTCGGGGTCTTATTTCGTGCCCCGGCCACCGTGAGGCCGCCTGTGGTGCTACTCGTGCAGGTCTGGCCTCAACTCGACAAATGGAAGGGCCCACAGTAGCCCTTTCTCAGATCTGGGGTGGAGCAGAACATGGCCGCCGGCGCCTTCTTGGAACTCCTGGAGTGGCTTCGAGAGGTGCTCCTGCAGGACGCTGTCTTCCTTCGCGAGTCCTACCCCGACCATCCTATCTTTCAGGATCCGGTCTTCTCTTGCCCCGAGTTTGAAGCGTTCGCCAGCAAAGTTCAAGACACATGCACACGGGACCACGAAGACAGCCATACCACGGTCATTCAAAAGCGATCCCGGTGGTTGCGGAGAAGCTGCGCACAGTACTGACTCAACAGGTCGCAGCCGAGCAGTTAGCTGAGCGAGACATCTAGACCTTTTGGGGCTTCTTACGAACTATGCACAAAGTTGGATGAGTTTGCGCAGGCCACCTACACCGTCACCTTCAGCCCCGGCCAAGGTGCTGCAGGTCAACATGCGGAGATCGCGGAGCTCATCAACAGAGGCGCCGCGCTCCACGAGAGACGGTCCTCAGGTAACTGAAGATATCGTGGCGAGGCAAATGGACGAAGAACGTGGACCCAGCTCTTTGGATAAGTTGTTCAAGGCCATCCGAAAGGACAGGCAAGGCGAAAAAGGGACACAAACGTGCGTCAGGGCAATTCAACGTCGGTGGTAGCGAAAAGTCGATGGCGCAGTGATTTTGAACACCCGTCTGATAGAATGACGAGGACCTTGGCGGCGAAAGTGCCCCAGGCCGTCAGGGGCTGCGTCGCTACAGTCAGCGGTAGTGGCCTGTAGACGGGTATGCATCCGCTAAGCGCCGCTGTAGCTCCAGCGCGTCAAGGCTGAAAATGCTTCAAATCACCGCAACCTCGCAACCGACAGGATGTAGGACCTTAGACAGGGTGCATTCTGATCGCACAAACGCAGGCTATCCAGTCGAACTGGTTTTGTCGTCGTCGGTCCCGGCTTTCGCGCTTTATGGCGCTCCGAAGATGACATCAACCCGGCAGAGGTGATGTCAGGGCAAGCGGGTAATCGGCGGTAATCTGCGGGGTAATCGCTGACCGCCCACAAAGCCGGACCTGTGACATCCTCTTGCAGATGCCCGTTGATCTTGGTGGGGGCCACGGCAGCCCAACTAAGTGTCTTCGAAGTGGCGAAGACGCGGTTGAGCTGCTGT